CAGAGACTATACTGACTTCTTTTTCAGTGGTGGACAATCCAATCAACATTGCATTGCAAGAAAAAATGAAACGGCACACAGATGAGGACATGTTGAAACGTTAGTAAACCTGGGGAAGTGGGGGGACTTGGCCTCAGGAATCTGTGTAACTCACGGTACACTCTACTTTGGTAATAAAGTGAAATGTGGGAAAGAAAAAATAACTTCTCAAATACAAGTTCAGGTATAGTTTTAAAGTGTACTTGGTATTGTAAAATTATATTTAGGAAGCTAGTAACCTGTTAATTTAATAATGCAAATCACAAGATAAAGCTTGCTAAAATCATCCTGGCTGATGGACAGTGTACAGAACTCTCATATTCTGGCCATGATCTGGAGAGCAGAACATGAGATCTTGAATGTTTTTTAGAAGGGGATGTTGATTAAAATGGTTCTGAAAGACTGATCTAAGAAGGCTAGTTTGTTCTCTGTAGAAGGTAATGATGCTTTAAAAAGTACATATGTTTTAATACGGCTTTGCTCACAACTGATAAAAGCTTATTTTTACTTGGAGTATAAGCATGTTTGCTTTGACAGATATGAAGATGACAGCCACGTGTTTACTTCTACCAGATGTTTTTGGGGACGATCCCAGCCTTTTTGTCATTGTGAATGAGAAGGTATGCTGTACGTCAGTGATCACTGGTTTGAGTTTTCACATCATCATAATTGATTTGAAAGCAGGGCGCTGGTCTATTTTGAAGGGTGTTTTTGTCATATATACAAATATGACATGTGGCAACAAGCTCATTTATTGTAATACCATAGTCAAACTGAGGCACTTTGTATTATTTAGCTATTTTACATATCACAGGGTAGTGACTCTACTATTTTTTTCCAGGTGCAAGTGTCCACACCCGTGTTAGAAGTTAAGAATCCTTTCAACATCGATGACTGTGAATTTTCTTTGTATTTAGAAAAAGAGAGGCTCGCAATGGTGGAGGACTGTGTTACAGCCATGGCTGCCCTCCTAGCTGCCTTTCCTGTATTTGGGATTGAGTGTCCAAGAAGACTATCCCAAACCCTCAACTTCCTGGACACACTGATTTTTGATATGCACAGTCCCTGTTTTCCTTGTATGAAAGAAAAGGAAAAGGAAGTTGGGTTTCAACACCTCGCCACTTAATATTATATCAGAACTGACCCCTGGGACAACTGAAACTTTGTAAACAATTGTTTTGATTTAGGGTCATAGAGATAGGTATTAGAAAATCATCTTGTCTCAAAGATGCAAATGAATTTCCATGCCTTCTATCTTTATACTTAAATTCTTTGTGGAATTCTGTAATAAAATTCTACTCAATTAAAGAGCTGTTTATTTTGATTTGCTTCTAAGAAATCCCATGGTTCAGATTACATGAACAAGGATGCATTGCTA